AAACAAGTGTCGAATATCTAAACCAATTTCTCATTGACACACATTTTACTTCAATCGCCCGAAGATATCAGCTTGTCAATTCAGTCCACTTTTTCAAGTAGTTTTCCTTTTTTAAATTTTTGATACATTCATGCCACAGAAGACGTTGATCTACGTCAAAGAAAGTTGGGTTTACTTGACCTCATGTCACCTTAGTGACACGAAGTTGTACTGAGTTATTTTCATAATTCACACAGCCTCAGATAAATCGACCCAATTTAAGTGTATTGGACAACCCTCCTTTATCAGAAACTCACTCACTAACCACCCGCGTAAATAACACTATATTTTGTATTTTACGCTGAATATTGTACGCTGAATTTTGCCATACTTCAGACGACCATAACATCGGAGCAAATAACAAAATTTTGAATTTTTGCTTCTGCCACCGAATTCTTAAAAATTACTGACAGCCTCTCCCTTATGAGCAATTTGTTGAGAAAATAATCTTCAAAACCTATCTTATCTCCAATAACTTTCTTAAAAGCCTCCTCAGGTTCTTTATAATCTTCCGCCGATGAAACTTAGAATCGTACAAGGCGTTTGCATGACAAAATTGGCATTCTATGTACTGTATGCAGCTGTTTACTAAGGAAATAGTCGATCGCGAGCTGAATAATGATTCAGAGTTAAGAGTTCCTGTCTCTAACATACCTTCCGATCGGTTAGGCAATAGCATCGTTTAAAATTTGTCGAATCCATTCAATTAGGTGACAGATAGGTTACAACGGGGTGATTTCCTATAGTTTTCCATAGAAAGGAGCAATTAAGACGCTCTGAAGAATTTTGCATGATTCTGTCAACTGATTTTAGGAAACGGTTTAATTTCAGAGGAAGATGTTTTTCGTCTTGTCACGAGCGTGACAAGACACACGTCATGTATGACACATGTCCATTTATACTGCTAGGATCAGCGATTCAGCGATGTCGATAGCGTCATGTTTGTTAATAGAATACGAAAGATGATAAGCTTTGAGTTTGGTAAAGAAATAGAGAAAGATGTCATACACAAATTTCGTAAAAGGCCTCGCTCACTATAGAATCTCTGTGGCTCTGTGGTAGAGCATCGGAGCGCGGAATCCAAAGGTCTGCGGTTCGATTCCTCAAGGGGACTCAGAAAATGTTTTTGTTTGTCTAACGCTCGCGACAAGACGAAAAACATCTTTCTCCATTTCTTTACCGACTCAAAACCTACCATCTTTCTTATTCTTTTTAATTTAAGTTCTACCATTGTACCTTTATTGAGAAAACAACCTTATCTCCAGTAACTTTCCTAGAAGCGTCCTCAGGTTTTTTTATAATCATCCGGTGATAAAACTTAGAATCAAACAAGGCGTTTACATGACAAAATTGGTATTTTAGGAGTTGTGCGCAGCTGTTCAAAAAGGAAAAAGTCGACCGTGAGCTGAATAATTATCTCTCTTCATATGTATAAAACTGAAGCGTTTTTATTATTTGTTTCTTAGTAAACGATATGTGACAAGAAAAACCGGGACAATAAGTCTGAGTCACGCGGAGACTAAAGGTTAACTGTCGCCTGTGGCCAGGGATCAGAATGGTGTGGAGAATTCCTGTCTCTAACATACCCTCCGATCAGTTAGGCAATAGCGTGGTTTAACATTTGTCTAACTCATTCAACCAGGTGACAGTTATGTTACAAAGGAGCACTAAAGACGCGTTAAAGATTCCGTCTTCTGCTTGTAGGAGTTAATCTAATTTCAGTTTTTCTATTTTCATTACCGGTAAAATTTACGAGTTAAACAAGTTAAAATTAGAAATGTGTTTTTCAGTATAAACAAGTTGTCTTGTCAATGTTTTTTTGGTGTTAATTTAAGACGTTTTCTGCAATAATAAACAATAAAATTCAAATGTCTTGGACCGCACAGGTAAATTCTGGGATCCACTTCTCTAATGCACTTTAGAAGACGTAACAAACTTTGCAAAAAATATTAAATAAATAAAGAAAAAGGGAGAAAAAAGAGACTGAGAAGAAACACAAATTAAGAACAAAAATAAAAAGAAAAGTGATTTGAGGTGACTGAGAACACCACGTGAATTAACTGAAGTGTCCGAACCTCTCACCTTTCCGACGACCCGATTTCTGCCGATGTACTTTCGGTGCCAGGCTCTGGCTCTCCTTTCTCCGTTCCACGTTCTACGTTCCCCGTTTTTCATTTTCCGTTCCCCGTTCCCTGTCCACCGTTCGCCATCACTGTTGCCTCATAATGCTTTCAGTGACATTCCACATGCAGATAAGACTCACGACTAGTAAAGCGGTCTGCAAACTGGGAAGCAAAACGTGCCAAGTGGTGGAACACAACAATCGCTGCGAAGAGCGAAAAATTATTATCTTTTTGCGCCGTGCAGAAGTGCTGAGTTGCGAGACTCATCGCTACTTAGCGCTTGAATTAAAAAATAAATAAATAAATACAAAAATAAAAAAAAAACCAAACATCTTGAAAGCAGATCAAAATTATCACGGTTGGTTGATTTCTTTGACAAAATATTATGGTTTTCACCAATTACCCCAAGTGCATTCCTCACTGGACAAGCCTGCATGTATATAGCTTAAACTTTAAAAACAAAAAAAACAAAAAAAAAAACTTCGTAACGCGGCACTTTCAGAGGATGTAAGGCATGCGCGGGGATCACGTTTCGCGTGATCTGCTGCAAGTTTTAGTTCGTGCAAATTATGGTCTTTGACAAAATTTCAAGTGCTTATTACACCAAATTGCATGTGAAATCATATTATTACATGATGATAATGTACATGAAAAGAGCCTGGAAATGATCGGACAAAGTACAATTAGGCAGATGGCGTGACAGCTCAGCTCCGTGTTTTGTTCTCTGATATATAAGGACCGCTTTTTTAACTGATGACAGCGTGCACTAGATCCGAACTTTTTTATAATTTATCACAGCTCAGCCATAATTTATCCCATACAAACTCAGCTGGCTTCTATTATTTTGTTACCGTTCACCGAAAAATAAACTAAAATATCGATATAGGCATGATTTCTCTCTGTATTCTCCTTTCCTAGTTCTCCACTCCTCGTCACCTATAAACTGTTCCCCGTTCCTTGTCTCCTTTTCTCTTTTGCCTGTTGCCTGTTGCCTGTTCCTCGGTCCTTATTTCCTGTTTCATTTTCCTCGTTGCCTGTTCCTTATTCCCCATTCCCTGTTCTCTGTTTCCTGTTTTCTGTTCCCCGTTCCCCGTTCCCCGTTCCCCGTTCCCCGTTACCCGTGCCCGTTCCCCGTTCCCCGTTCCCCGTTCCCTGTTCCTTTTCCGTGTTCTCTGTTCTCCGTTTCCTGTCCCCTGTTCTCTGTTCTCTCTTCTCTGTTCCCTGTTCCTGTTCCCCGTTCCCCGTTCCCTGTTCCCCGTTCCCTGTTCACCGTTCCCTGTTCACCGTTCCCTGTTCACCGTTCCCTGTTCCCCGTTCCCTGTTCACCGTTCCCTGTTCACCGTTCCCTGTTCACCGTTCCCTGTTCACCGTTCCCCGTTCATTGTTTCCCGTTCCTTGTTCTCTGTTCTCTATTCCCAGTTCTCTGTTCTCTATTTCCCGTTCTCTGTTTCTTGTTCTCTGTTCCTGTTCACTCTTTCGTGTTCTCTGTTTCCTGTTCTCTGTTTCCTGTTCTCTGTTTCCTGTTCTCTGCATCCTGTTCCCTGATTCCTGTTCTCTGTTTCCTGTTCTCTCTTTAAATTATGCATTTATGCTGAAAGTATTAGTCTTAATCATAAAAACTACAGTTTCCACGATTGTGATTGTTTTCAAAAACTCACTTTTGCCATTAATTTACTTGCCAAGTTGTTATGGGACAGTTTGTTATGGGACAGTTCAATAAGCAAATTACATCCAAAGTTGTAGTTTAAATCAACCAATCACATCCTCGGTTTCAATCACCATAGAAACACAAATCACCTTGTCAGTCTAGATGCAAATTTTCCCTTTTTTTCATAACTTGGGTAATCATCTTTTCTCGCAAATTGTAATTTTTGTGATTAATTGGTAAAAAGACGTCGTGGAGTCCAATTCGGTCTGAAATCATATTCTTGGTAACTAAGTATGATTGCAGACCGGGATGGACTCCACTCAGTCCTAGTACCACTACTTATTAAGATAAATAAGTAAATAACTTAGCTTATCACATCCTTTCTTTCTGATTTTGTGTATTTTCAAACTGATAAAGAGCGGTCACCTAGCTCATCTACAAATCCTTTAGCTGTTAACCCTTTGAACTCTAAGATTGACTTACATCTAATTTCTCCTTACAGTATCAACCCTGAATAAAACAAAAAGGTCACGAGAATAAAGGAAATGATCATCAACTTAAGAACCCTTGATTGTTCAACAAATTCTCCTTGTCAAATCCATTGGAAATATATCGAGAACAGTATGGAGGAAATCCATGTTAATTTTAGGATATTGACATAATATAATAATGTTCAATTGCACAATCTGATTAAAATTGCGATCACAGTTTCTAACGTGCTCATATTTACTTCTTTGACAAAAACTGAATCCAGTAAACCTATACAAAACGTGAAGCGAATCAAGGCAAAGCGACAGAAACGATCAAAGCGAAACAGAGTGGTAATAACGGCTTTGACATAATCGCGCACAAAAAAGCGTGAACTCAAATTAAACAGACGCAAACTAAGCCTAAACTGATGCAAAACTAAACCTATTAATAATAGAGATCATCAAACAAACCCAAATGAACAAAGTGCAAAATGAAACCTTAGAAATGAAACATACAAAGGAACCACGTTTAACAATAAAATGATCCTCGACGTAATCTGATTAATTCAATTTTCCTCCTTTTTACCATTCCTTTTTTTCTTTTTCTTTTTTTTTTTTTTGAATTCAATGCAGATGTTGGAGAGTTTAGAGCAAACTTCCTATCCAAGAGTACCTTCACACAACCTTTGTGGATGTTCATTTCTCCCAAACAAATTAAATTCAAATTTGTGGGTTAATCTCACCGAGGGGAATGATCTCAACCTGTCTGTTTGCCTGAGGTCGTTGGCGACATAATAACTTTAAAGCTCGCCTAAAGCCTGGCATTCTCATAGTATACAATATCGGATTTAAAAAACAGTTTGCGTAAAACAAGATCACTGAACAACGTTCTAAATGGAAAAGCGCTGTTTCAGATAATGAACTTAAAATGTTAGCGGCAAAAAACAGAAAACTAGCTATAAGATAAGGCAGCCACAATAGAAGAGAGAGAGAAGTCACGGTGAACAACGTCACGGTCAGTTTCCTTTCCCTATTTGCCGCGCCATGGTGTCGAGGCTGATTTCCAAAGCGAAGCTTGACAAAAATAAAAACGTAAGAAACACAAATGACCAAAAGACAAATTGAGATGAATGAACCCCAAGCGTAGTGATAATAATCCTCTTTATATGCATGGTGATATTTCATTGTTAACGCACAAAAGAGTAGTGTTGTCAACCAGATGGCGATTATAAGAACCCAATAGACTGACTTTTTGATCGTGTGATGTCTGAAGGGCCAAAACGTTGCATTCAGGCGTTCTAGAGAAATAACAGTCATATTTGTCAACGAACAAACGGGAAACCAGAGGATGAACACCTGAGGTATATACCAATACGCTCTATTGTGCCTCCAAAGGTTCCATGTCTCTCCAACATCATCGAAGAAGTTGAGTGCAGAACTTCCCCCGGATAACATATCTGCAACTGCTAAGCTTATCACCAAGTACGTTGATCGTTTACGAAGATTACGGTCTCTACAAAACGCAATCACTGTCAAAGAATTCAGAGCTATTATGGTGACAGATTCAGTCAGGCCCACAACCATCCAGATTATACACTCCGGTGAATAAGTCATCTGAGAAGTCTTTTCCTATTCCAAATAATTGAGAAATATTATGGTATTTCCGGCAATGATTTGACAACAGAGTAATGCGAAAGAGACTAGACTGGTATCCCGTAAGGCAACAAAGTTTACCCATGGTCTTACATCCCTCCTTCGGTACGTTTTCGTAAATGTTAGCTACGTCCTTTCAAAAAACCAATCTCCGATATGAAGACGACCTTTGTTTCCTTACAGGTCGTGCAAGGCAACTAGTTCCTATGGCTGCTTAAGAAAGCCAACAAAATCCTTTAGGCTGTTTCAAAGAGATTTTGAACACTTTTTACGAGTCACGAATCAGTGACTATTGAGCTTGTAACTTTCCGTTCGCGTAAGCCGATTATTGCAAAAAAAAAAGTAACATTCCGATTCCTAAGTTCGCCTATCCTCACTCAAATTGAGATAATCATCTTTGAGTCAAAAATTGTAGTTGATAGGTCTTATTTTTTTTATTTTCGTTTGCTATATTTTTCAATTCCTGCTCGGAAAACGCCTTTCCATGCTTTTGTTCATTTTGTCGTGTCGCATGGAATTGACCGCTTATTACAGAAATAGAACTTTTTCGAATTCACAGGCTACTTTCCACTCTTTCTTAGAAAGATGCGTGACATGCCACAGCCGGTCACCCTTCAACGACATGCATGAACCAATCAGATATGTCCTAGATCATTTAGATAAATGACATCTCATTTGGTATGGTTGAAAGGTTCCCAGGGAGAGAATTATGTGAATTGAAATTTACGCCCATTGCTGTTTTTGTAATGATTCGACTCTTTTTCTCATCTTCAGCCTTATCGCTGACGGGATTTACGAATTTTTTCTTGGATGGTGGATCCTATTTTTCTTCATTCGTCAATAAAGTCGACTTTATTTGCCGATAAAGACTGTGAATAAACAAAATAATACATGGTCGCTTGTAAATTCTTAATTTCTCTGCTCGTGTTCAACTCGACGTCTCACGAGTGAGCGCAGCGAGCTTAGCGCGAACTCATCGGACATCGAGCTGAACACGAGATGAGAAATCCTATGTCCAATTCACTCCACTTTTTCAAGTAGTTTTCCTATTCATTTTTTATATATTCATGCCATAGAAGGCTTTGATCTGCGCATAAAAATAAAAATTAAAAAAAAATGGATTTCCTTCAATCTTGACTGAGGTTTAAGTTATTTTCATAATTCACACAGCCTTAGATGAATCGCCCCAATCAAAGGTGTAATGGACAACCCTCCCCTAGCAGAAACTTACCTTACCGTCACTTCCCCTTAAAATTTAGGGTGAACTCCCTTTTAATTTAGAAACATTGAAATAATTTAAGAGAAATTTGTTAAGAAAATAATCTTCAGAGCATATACCTTATCTCAAATAACTTTCTTAAAAGTGTCCTCAGGTTCTTTAATAATCTTCCGCCGATGAAACTCAGAACCGTGCCAGGCGTCTGCATGGCAAAATTGGCACTTTATGAGCTGTGCGCAGCTTTTTAATAAGGAAAAGTCGATCGCAAGCTGAATAATAATTAAGAATTAAGAATTCCTGTCTCTAACATACCCTTCGATCGATTAGGCAATAGCGTTGTTTAAAATTTGTCGAACCCATTCACTTCGGTGACAGATAGGTTACACTTTGGTGATTTCCTCTGGTTTTCCATAAAAAAAGAGTAAAAAAGACACTCTGAAGAATTTTGCATGATTCTGTCAACCTCTTTTAGGAAACAGAGAAAGATGTTTTTCGTCTTGTCGCGTGCGTTGGACAAAAAAAAATCTGAATCCACGTTTACCGACTCAAAACTTACCGTCTTTCTAATTCTATTTTCATCTAATTTCAGTTTTTCTGTTTTCATTACTAGTAAAAGTTGCATTAAAAAAGTTAAAATAATGTGTTTTTCAGTAAAGACTAGCTGTCCTTTCGATGTTTTCTTGGTGCTAATTTAAGACGTGGTAGCTACAGGCGTTTTCGCAATAAACTAACAATAACATTCAATTGTATTGCACTACACACGAAATTCTGGAATCCACTTCTCGAATGTACTTTAGGAGACATAAAAAAAAACCTTTGCAAATACTTAAGAAACACGAAATAGGAACAAGAACAAACAAACGACTGAGGGTGATTGAGGACACCACGTGACTTGACTGAAGTGACCGAACCTCTCACCTTTCCAAAGAGCCGATGTACTTTGTTAAGAAAATAATCTCTAAAGCCTACCGTGTCTCAACTAATTTTCTTAAAAGCGCCCTCAGGTTCTTTATAATCTTCCGACGATAAAACTCAGAGTCGAACATGGGGTTTGCATGGCAAAATTGGCATTTTGGAAGCTGTGCGCAACTGTTCAATAAGGAAAAAGTCGATCGTTATCTGAATAATAGTGGAGCTCCTGCGTAGCAACATAATTATACAAAATAGTAGTAACACATCATGCCGAAAAATTTTGGCTGTACGACAGTAGGACCGTACAAGATGCTGCTTTTAGCATGCACGGCCAACTGTACCACGGACACTATCTTAGCCATTACGTAATGAAAGGGCGAGGGAGAAGGTAATGCGCAGGCGCGATTGCGTTCGTAACTTGGATACCCCATAAGTGTGCGCCAGGAAACACCTTGAAATAACAATAAAGTGAGCATACTCAAACGTCGAGCCAAAAAGTAGCGTACTGCAGGCACACAGTTAGGCGTTGCACGAGGGCTTCACTTGAGCTAGTAAATGTGATTTGCCACCCGCGTTGAGCGGGAAATTAAACTGATTAGGATGTAGTTGAACAGTAATTCTCAGTATGTTGCAATTTCTAAACAACTCGTAAGGCAACAATACCGGAAGAGTTTAAGCTTTGTCAACCGGAGGAAATGTTTATAATTCAAGTTCGTGGAGAGAGGGTTTTAACTGAAAATAAGCTGAATATGAAGAGACAGATGATCCAAAGAAAGCAACAAGTAAACGGCGTAAAGCGAGTCCAGAAAATCGCACAAGAAAGTTAGAAAGGACACCAAAATAGGCAGAATACAGCGAGAAGAACGCGAAAGAGAACAATAAAGGACATAAGTAAAAAGGCGAGTTTCTAGCAAAGAGCAACGCGAGAAGGAAATACAAAGTCGCTCCTGAAAACGGACTGAAAAGAGGTCATCAACAAAGAGAAGCGAACTACAAAGGATCCGCGCAAAAAAGAGGAGGTAAGTCGAGTCCTATCTGGGTTTTCTCTTACGCTAAGACCCAGAAAAAAATTCAATCAGGTAATTATTTCAATATTTTAGTAACATTCAATGATTTCGCATGTAACAGGATCATCAAGCTGAAGATAGCCTCAAAAAGGATTGAACTCCACTGTAAGAATTAGGTAACTAATTTGAAAACTTGAGCACTTGGTAAATTTACCTTGGCTTGCAATTCTGAAAATTACAGTTTGCTGAGGTAATTAAAAAGTTTTCCCCATTCAGGAATCTTCCACTTGACCTGTACCTTCATGTGCTATGAGATAACCTTAGAAAAAATGCATTTGTGTTGGCAGAACTATTCTAAATACAGTACCACCTAGAGACAAAAATAAATGATTTCCTGTAAGCATGAACATTTGGGAGAAGGTATTGTGGTAAGTGGCTCTTCTTTTTGTATGCATAGGGTCTGATGAATGCCATGTACATCTTTTAGCTTTCAAACTTTCAACTTTGTATTAATTGTAGCTGTTTACCATGTCTATTCTCTGTACCCTAAGCCCTCAAAAGTTGAAGCAGGTGGGTCAATAACCTGATTTCCTTTGTTTGGAATTGTGTGATTATATAATTTTGCTGTGTAAGTTACCATACTGTAACATGCAATATTATTATTTAGATTGCATTGAATACACTAGACCAAGCTTTCATTAATGCATGGTGTTTCTTACAATTGGTCCTACCCAAACGGAACATCAAAATAAGGAATTGGTCACAAGATATGTGAGTTTAAAAGGATGGGAATCTGGAAAAACAAGGATCCTCCTTTAATTAGGACTGAAATTAATGGAGGCCCTCTTTTTTTAATTCATGTTTTTACTTTGACCTGCCTCCTCCCCTATAATGTTCAGGGGACATAGATGGAGAGAACATTTCTTTGTATTTTAATTCATAAAAGTTAAATTACCAGTAATTGGCATCCACATAATCACAAAGCAAGAATGTAAAGCTTTAGCTTAATTGGTTAAAAAATTAAAATAAGAGAGTACTGCAGACCATGTCTGACTTTTTATCCTGGCTCTGGACATTTATTTAAATAACAAAGACACTATCAGTCTCATTCACTCTCACTTTCCACTGAGCTTGTGGAAAGACGATAACATCACTATTTCTTTAAATGAAGAAAGGAAAACATGCCCTCTTACCACAGATAGTTCTGTTGGGCATCATCAGTACAAGATGATTATTCCAGGTAGGCTAACCTTAAAAATTAGTTATGAAAATTTCTTGAACCTGTCATTGTACGTCTTGAATGTTTGACTCAATATTACCTTACTAACCTAAACTGAATAAATAGAAACATGAAATTTATTTTTATTTGAGGTGTGCATCAAAATTTCGAAGTCATTACAGGCTTAAACTATAGGTTTACAGGAAATCTGCATGTACATGTGTTTTCAACATATGAATCTGGGATTATGACTACTACAAAAGACTTTACTACATGCCATATAGCTACAGGCAGATGTTGTAAAAAAAGGTTTCCTTAGCTTTTTCATTAACACACCTTTCTTTTTCTAAGAATCCTGTTTATCCAGCCTGTGCTCAATTCTAATTTTTCAAGCAAATTTTATTATTATTTTTTAATATTATTAGATCTACTAGTATCAGTTAATATTCTTGTAATTAAAATAATTGCATCAAATCTTGCAGATGTATGACAGATTGTTTTTTTTCTGATCCTCCTAACATTTTACCACTTGAAGGGACTGGTATTGGCTATAAAATTATAGTCAAATTAAAGGTTTTTGCACAACCTATGCATCGAGTTTTTG